TTATAGGGACGTAAAAGTATAGTGCTATTTAGGATCCAAAATACAACTAATCCACTTAAAGTTTGTTTATCTCTAATAAAGTTAGAAAACATCAATAAATTCACTAAATAAAATATTTTATGTAATAAGTGATTATGAAGCCAAACGTTTTTCATTAAATATGAAATTACTAAAGCTATAATTAATAATTTTGAAGTTTTTTTGAAAAACTTTGAATGGTAAAGTACAGCATAAGTTAATATTAGACTTACGATGTTAAATGCTTGCAAATAAAAATAATGTTCATTACACAAAAGCCACCGAGAAATATCTAACAGGTGCGCCCATTTGTCGCCTGTTTGATTTAATTTTCTAACAAAACGAAATGCGCATAGTATTACAGTAAATTCTGCAAATGAACTTAATGATTTAAACATATATAAATAAATATAGGAGGATATCGTTGTACACCAAAAGAAATACCAAATTTGATGTTCCTCCTCAATAAAACTAGAAGAAACGAGACTTACACAGTGGCAAATGTTGCTGAAAATAAGGAATTTTAAACGGTAGTTAGTATTTTGTAGAAGATGCAAATATACTTTTATATTTCTAAAAAATAAAATAGCAGTTGCAATAAACGTAAAAATAATTATTAAATATCCGAAAGGAAGAAAAAAATATGCCAATAAGCATATAACAATAAAAATATCTCCAGCTTGCAAGAAATTATTTTTATCTTGACCATTAACGTTAAAGAAGTAACATATAATATTTTTAAAACTAATAATTATAAGCATGACAGAATAAATAAGTTGATGTTCGTTTTGTGTGAGCGACGAAAGTATTAATTTTTCTTTACTTAAAAATATGAAAGATTCATATAGTTGAATTGCTTCTTTGCCACTATGTAAGTGTTTGTCGTTTAAATATTTTTGGTATTGTATTGTTGCTTCTTCAAATATATCATGAAAATCATCAAATTGACTATTTTTTTTCAGTATGTGAGCATTACAGTTCATAATGTGCAAAATTTGCCCCAAGTCATATGACTGCAAAGTACTTTGTATTACAGAACCTAATGTATTATGGGGAATTTCAACACCTAATAATGCTGACAGTGTTGGAGATACATCAATTTGAGTTGCAGAATGATTGCTGCAAGTAATTCCAGAAAATATTAAAGGAACGTTGGTTTCATTATAAGTAGCTCCACCATGACCTCCACTATCCTTCATTCCATGATCTCCTGTTGTTACAATAAGAGTCCTTTTATTCCAAATTTCTGATTTCAAATGAATCGTTCTTATTATTTCATCCATTTCATATAGTTTTGGTTTTATTAGCTCACTAAACGGTCCTTCCACATGCCCAATGTGATCCAATCCTAGGTAGTGTAAAACCATTACATCCCAGTCATCCCTCTCTAATTCATGTAAAACATTCTTCGTTACATTTTTATCAACTTCGTTAAAATCATTAACATAAAATGAAGAAACACCTTCATGCCTGGAAAATATGTTGGGATAAAGTTTCAGCCATGTATCATCACCATAGAAGACCAATTTTTTCTGTGCTTCTACAAGTCGATGAAGCAAACTATCATCAACTTTATCTGTATCTATTAAATTTAGTATTATATCAACAAATTGAGGAATTGAGCCAGTTGTCAAAGACTTAATTCTAGGTAGTGTTACTGTTGGGGAATGTACTTGCAGGGATATAAAACAACCATTTTCTTGGAAGATTTTTGATAAATATGGCATATTTTCAGATGTAACGAAGTCTAATCTTAAAGCGTCAATTACAATTAATACTAATCGATCAACTAATGGCGTAAGTTTTCCATTATTACACTGCTCTTTTATCACTTTTTTGCTTACTTTAATCTCTGCTGTTGGATTGGTAGGTTTTATGGAAAATGGAAAAAAACCTTGCAAGAATAAAAATGACATTGTGAGAAGTAAAATGTAATGCTTCAGGATACAGCGTGATATTGTCCAATCCATGATTAATTTATTATTTCTCCTAAAAAAATTAATTTTAGGAAGTATGTTGCATCAGCATATATAATAATATTAACACACTTTTTATTTTTTGCATCATTAGGAATATTCAGTATTCAAAAGTTTCCTTTTTCTTATACTTTAAGTTTTAAAGGACTTCGTTTTTAGAAAATATCGAATATAAAGTGCACAAACTATATGCACAAACATTTTCGTCAGAAAAAAGGTTATGAAAGTGTGAGGCATGTGATGTAAACAAACTGTTGCTTAGCAATCACTCGTCGAAAAGGAAGGACGATAAAGAGCAGTAAGATCTATGGCAGTAAGTTATTTAATCTATGGTAAGGGATTAGCACATTGTTCTGTAATCTATGGTACATTCATAGATTAAAGAAATATATACGATATATACTATCAGGCGTTACGAAGGTTATGTGTGTCCCATGAAGGCTATTTTATTTTAAATATTTTAGTTTGTAATAGAGCTTCTTTAATTAACGTTAATATGAATACTACACCCACGCAATGGTATTGAACATGCTTGTTGTAATTATATTAGAAGATAACATCTAGTATTTTTAGGACTACTTATATTAAAAATACGAATATTTATCAACCAGCAATAGCTACTGAAGCATTTGAACATCCACTGAAGTCTACAACGGTATTTTTACCTAGTGTCACTAGCTTTTGGATATTTAATTTAAACATTGTAGATTGATCGTATACCCAGACGTATACTTGGTTCCCAACCAAGTACAGGCCGTTCTTCGCCAATTTTTACTCCTTCTGTATTTTTAGAACCATTATGCAGTGCGTTAGAAGGCGTTGATCCTTTGTCGCAATTTATGAAAGAAGAAATAGATCCATTGTCTCAAATGGCTGTAGAATTGGTAAAAGTTAATATTATTCATTACATTTTTTTGTTCTAATTTCAAATGATATTGTAGTCAACAGTGGATAGTATTTTTGATAGTGAAGGTAATAAAAGGAAAATATCTAAATCAAACTTAGAAATTGAATCCTGGGATTCACGGAAGCATTCTATTTTGTCAAAGTATACCACTTCAGAAAAATTGTCTATTGTAACAAGCTTTATTAATGAAGGCGAAAGAGGTGATTAACTGGCTTTTTAAAAACTTCATATGTATATTTTGATGTTTGTTTTATTGCAGTTGTTGTAAAAGCACAAAATATGTCAGTTGACAAAGTACAACATAGATTGGAACAGTTAGATTACTTTGAGGAAGGTTCCCAAAGAAAACTTGACTTAACACAAGCAGAATATGTAAATCGTATTGACCAGTTAAATAAGGAATTAGTGTCTGCTTGGCACTCAGAACATAGAGTTAAAGCACTAAAAATTGCTATACAATGTGCCAAGTTATTAGCTGATACTGATGTTATTCAATTTTATCCAAGCAAATTTGTTTTAATAACTGACATATTAGATATTTTTGGGCAGTTGGTTTATGAGAGATTAAGAGTGAAAGCAAACTATTGCAAGTAAGTTCCCTTTTTCTATCAAAAGTTATTTAAAACTTATATGTCATTTTTAGGCAAGGTTCGAAAATAGTTACTGTCTTGCCCCCTGATTTCACTTCAGATATGGTTCCTGAATCTGCTAAAGAAACGTGTCGGAACTGGTTTTATAAAATCGCCTCAATTCGGGAACTTATACCCAGGCTTTATGTAGAAATGGCCATTTTAAAATCATACAGCTTTCTAACATCAAGGTTTACGAACTGAACCTGTAAAGTAAATTATATTTAATTATTTTTTAATTTACAGTGAATTTTCTGCAGCTTTATTAAGGCTTACAAGAATGATACGAGGTATTGGTAATCCTCTGGTTGCTGCTTATGCAAGATGTTATATTTGTCGCGTTGGAATTACAGTTACTACAACTTCTAATTCAGACTCGAATTATTTAAAAGAAAATTTTAACGATTTTTTGGGATGCTATAATCAGGTCAATTTCTTAAAGTAGTTGTATTTTAATTAACGTATTTATACATAGTTTAATTTATAAAAAGAAAAAAGCGTTAACATAGTTTAAAGGGATTCAAGATATAAAAAGGCGATCTTTATAGAAAGCAATTAGAATTTCTCATTAAGAGTACTTTTTCTCATTTTGTTTCTATTACAGTTGTTTTCTTCCTTTGTACAAGAAGAATTAAAAATTCAAAGAGTTCCTGTTGCTACATATTTAACTCTATTTATGCCAGCCCTCGAATTCATTTTACAAGCTGTTGCCTGTACTGTACCGGAAAGTGTATTAGTCGGTATATTAAAGCAGTGTGAACAAATTGATAATAGGTAACTTTTGATATTGATTTTGAATATTTTTCTACCTTAATTAAATTTTATTTTTAGTGCACTTCTAATAAATACTATTATTGTTTCATTTAAGCCAACGTTTATTTCTGTTAGAGCAGTCGAAATTCTAGAGAAAATAAAACGTTGCATTAAACAAGATTTCCCCGTTTATATACTGCTGTCTAATCTGGGGTATTCAATTAATTCATGTCCCCCACCAGCAGAACACAGGAAACAGATTCTGGGAGACGTTTGGAACATTATATCTCAGTTGGGAGACCCTGAACAGTATATAAATTGTGCAGAAATTTGGATTCAATATGTAGTGCAATATTTTTCAGTATGTAATGAAATAATTTTTATTGTTTTATATGCTTTTTTTACTGTTGTAGAGTAGGGAATTGAATATAATTTTAGGAAACGTAATAGAACACATGTCCCGAAAGCGGATTTATGAAAATTTTTATCCTCAGTTAAAAAATGTCGTTCAGAAGGTCATTTCGTTTACTCAAGATTTTGAAACGTTATTAGCAATGGTAAGTATTGTACAGAATAAAAAAGAATAGTTTTTGAAGATTAAATATTTTAGGACAGTTTCCTTCCTCTAATAGACTTGTTCCAACGTGAAAATGTTAAAGTAGAAGTTTGTAAGTCCATTTTGATCACATGTATTTCGATTCAAATGCAAACCAGTGATCCTGTGATTACGAATTCTCTGATATTTTTATGTAGCGTTTTACACGATTCTATAAATGCTCTAACAGTTGATGATGAAAGGCGACAAATCGCAGAAATTTTATGCAATGTTGTTAGACGTGTTGACTATGGAAGAGATTTTGAACAGCAGCTTAGCTTTTATGTTGAAGCTAGAGGAGCATTTTCTAATCTTGATTCAGTTTTGACACAATTGGTTCAGGTAAAATTAATATTCTTTTAAAATAAGTAATTTCAAGCAATTATATTAATGTGGAAATTCCTGGTTTCAAGATCCTTATAAATTAATTACTATAAATGAATTATTTAGTATTTTTGATTCTCTTTTAGTGTGTAAACACTTTGGCAACCAATACAAAAAGAATAGTAAACGGTTTTCATTCAAAAAAGACAGCAGCTTTTGTCAGGGCCTGTGCCGCTTATTGTTTTATTACCATTCCATCAATTAAATCCGTTCATACAAGATTAGAATTATATTTACTGTCTGGAAGAGTTGCTCTTTCTAATAATTGTTTGGGTCAAGGTGAGTTATTGTTTGAAATTTCTGTAATTACAATTTATTTTTCTTGCGTCTGCTTGATACATTTATTCAATTTCTTTGCAGCGGATTCTTTCTTCAAAACGATATTAACAACTCTTTCCGAACTTTATCTAGAGACAGAAGAAAAGCCTGGAAATACAGATTGCTTTTTAATTTCATATATTAACAACTTGCTCTCGGTCCTAGTTGTTGTACCAGACAGTCCTGACAGAGGTGTACTCAGTCTTACTAAAGCTCTTTTAAATATACTGAAAAATTTTAATTATAAACAAATCGGAACTTTAGCGCAAATTTACGTTAACGTTCTTGATATGTTAAGTACCATGGTTCAGGAAAGTTATCCATATCATGTGGACAGGGGTGAGTACTTTTTGCTCTCTAAACGATAATGGTTTAGCCCTTCACAATTTTTCTGAGGCGAAAATTTTTTTTTTAATCTATTTCAATTTGTTAGTAAAATATTTTGTTTTAGTGGAATCAAATGATTCTTTATATGGCTCAGATCCCAAGTTTATTAGTGAAGTTGACAAAATGTGTTCCATTATTTTAGGAGAAATTTTAAATCAGCTGAAACTAATTGGACCTTGTAACCACCAATCATCCATTGCTTTTGAATTATTACTTCGAATTATTATAAGAGGTGACATGAGCAAAAATTCTTTATCTAATTTGACCCAAAATTTATGGCTTTTAAGTTTGAAAAATGGGAATCTCAGCACCAAGTATTTGGTAAATTATTTCTTATAATGCATATGAAAAATCTTTGAACAAATTTAGCAATTTCACTTGCTAGAAACTGAAATTAAATAGTAATCAGTATAATACTATACTTTTTTCAGGCTGCTACAAAAAAACATCTGGAATACTATGGAAAGGCTTTAAATAATCCATATTTATTAGAAACCGTTGAAAAATTAAAATTTTAATGGTAAACAATTGGACTGATTTATATATGAAAGTTATAATTACACTTTTTTTGTTAATATGAATTTTTATAAAATCGATTCGTAAAACTTTAGTTTTGTTAAATAACTTAGCATCTAAAATCTCAAACCTTAATTTTTAAATATTAATTTGAGATTTATTATTTGGGTTTTCCCCGAGTTCGAGATCCTCCAGTTTTTCCTCTTTTGTTTGGTGTATCTTTTTTTGGATTAGGCTTACGTTTAGCAGGGGTTGTTGAAACAACTGTAAAGAACCCATCAAGACGTACTTGCGTTGCTGTTCCTCTAGCTCGCTGTAATTTTTTAGCGCCATTTCTAACTCGTTCTTCATTAAACTGTTTGTCATTACAAAGGTACTTCACTAAACCATCTTCATCTGGGTCACTCCATTTTATCTATTAAAATTATGAAAATTAAATAATACAAAACTTCATTTGTGCTACTCAGATCAATACCTCAAAAGAATCAGGGTCTGCCACTTCAGGCTCTATAAATAATTGCCTTGCACCTTCATAATTCCAGTTCTCTGGGACAGTGTATTTTGACTTATCAATACTATTCATTATTCCTTCTAAACATCGATGCTGTTTCATCAATTCAATTGCTCTTTTCGGTCCAATTCCCCTAATACTATCTGTATAATCACATCCTAATAAAATGCACAAATCTATAAACTAAAAAAGTAATGATTAGTTAATTTTATCATAATAACTTTAATCTAATAATTATTACTAACTTCTTTATGAGACAATCCCAAACCTTCTAAAACTTTATCTAATTGAATTTCTTGAATTGGCATCTTTTTAGCTTCACTAAAAGTTAAGCGGCGAAGGAGAACTTTAGAGCCAAACGTTAATGCATCCATATCTTCTGTAGCTGTTGCAAACACTTTTCCTGCTTTCACCTAAATGTTAAGAAATACAATACAGATAATCAGTTTTTTAATGTGACTTACAAGAGCAGCACATTGTGCTTCTGCTTCACATGGAGCTTCAATGTAAGGTATTCCCATTAGTTTCAATAGTTGTTTTGCATCTTCTGCATGTTGCTTGGTGACCTTCACTAATCTACGACTGAATTTATCAATTTCAGCAGCATCTCCAGCTTCAGTTGCCTTATCCAATGATTTTTGGGCCTCCTCTCTTCTTTCCATTCTTTTATTTAGTTCACCAGATTTCATTGTAGGAGGCTTACCATCAAATACATATACTGGTTTAATACCATTCTCAACTAATCGAATCGTACGATAAAACATTCCCATTAAGTGAGAAGTTGTTTCTCCTTCAGTTGATACTAACTGTGCCCCATCACTTCGCACAGCAATTAAAAATTGATATAAGGACATTGATGCATCAACTGCGATTTTACGACCTTAGAAACATAAATTCAGTCTTAATTGAAATACTAACTATTGAATTGTTTTATAATTACCAAAATAGTTCTTTATGTCCGTTTCCTTGATGGCATGAGGGGCAACATCAGCCAAAAATTTTGCTAATCCTAAAATTCCCATATCGATTTAGATCTGCTGTTAATTCTTAAGAAAATAATTTCCGATAGTCTCAATTTTGCGAATACAAATCATTAATTACTTATTATTAATCATTTTATTATTTTAAACAATCAGCCTGATGAAGCCTGAAAATAGCGGGAAAAAAAGCGTTAAACTTATCCATAGATAATGACTTGTCAACTTATCCATAGATAATGACTTGTCTATTTATCATAGATTATTATTTATGGCATCAAAATTCCGAACCACTGCAATTGCTTTTAAAAGAAATTAAAAATCTCATAAGTAAAAACAAATATTTCATGGACGTATCATAAATTACTATTATGTTATTAGTTATTACTTTATCTATTTTTAAACGAATGTATAAATATCTTGTTATTTGAAATATGCATGTACCTTTATCCACTATCTTATTGACAACTGATACCAAACGTCAAAATTAATATAAGAAAAAAATAAAATTAATGACATAACCCAGACATAACCTAAATAAATATTACTTTGTCTAAATTTGTTTTTCAGCAGAACAGTCATTTGTTTTAACATGTCCCAATTACCAGTGATTGGTTTAAAGACTCATACACAGCGAGTTAAGTCTTTATACAAGCAAGCTCTGAGATGCCTAGAAGCATGGTATGATAGAAGGTAATGAACGAATCTATTACATAATTCAATGCTAATAAAACGAAGTTTTTTATTCAAAATACTATTTTAGAGAGGTCTATCGCTATCATGCTGTTTTAATGCGAGATAGATTTGATAAAAATAGGGATATAAAAAACCTTGCAATGGCTGGAGATTTGGTGGCAAAAGGTGAAGAAGAATTGTTCCAAAAAGGTCACTGGCACCCAAGAAAATGTAAGTTTATTGTATCTTATTAGACTCCCTTTTATAAAAATAATTACAGTCCCTAACTCTCCTGGGGGTGTTGCATATGAAAGAGAAGTTATCCCTCCGGATTGGGTTGTTGATTATTGGCATCCATTAGAAAAGGCACAATATCCTGATTATTTTGCCAGGCGAGAAGAAAGAAAGAAGGAATTTATTAAAAATTGGGTAAAGAAATATGGTCAAACAGCAATTGACTCTTCACATTAGAGGTTGTATATACAGTATCTGTATGCAGATAATTTAGTAAGTAATATCTTATATTTTTTCTTATTTTGTTTGTTTTAATAAAANCAACGATTAACATTTTTATATTAAAGCAAATATATTATTTACCTGAACATTTTCTAAACTAAATGATAACTCATAGATGCCCAATTCTCTGTTAACTATTTCTAGTAAATCTTTGACCTTTCTCCACCACAGTTTTGAATCCTGTGGTAAAATTTTTATGATTCTGCCATCTGATAAGTTTTCCACAACGCGCTCGTTTTTCCATCCCTAAAAAAATATTACTCCAAATGTCTTTTATTGTTTTTTCATTAACTTACATTAAATCGGAATATACTTCCAGCATTGTGATAGTTTAGATGAAGTAATTCCTCACTTGGATCGCCCATATGATACACAAGTTTACACTCGTGGCATTCAGTAAGTCCAAATCTTTTCTGCCCAGCATCCAACAGCATTTGATCTTTAGGTAATTTCTTCCAAGTAGTTTTATTCTGATTACGATTTTGCACAGCAATTTTAACTTGTTGATTGTCTAAAGAAGTTGTTGCTTTTCCATAAAATATGGGAAACAATTTTTTTTGCTCCATAATTGACTTTATTGGTCTGTAATTACAAGAATTACTATGTAAAGTTGATTGATTTTCTAAATTCTCTAGAGTGGTTGTTATGTTTTTTATAGCCTTTTTAGGACTATTTAAGGCCAGTCCAGAAGTCATATCACACATTTGAGAAGTCGGAGAAAGAAAGAGTTCTCCGTTGTTTATATTACTGATATTTGTAGGCGAAGAACTCATTTTCTGAGTCACATCATTTCTGTCATCGATTTCTACATTATTTTTGTTGTAATCAGGCATATTATGCAATTGTATAGAATTTGCAGATCCTAATACAGAGATATCTGCCTTTAAAATAATTTTTGAATTTTCATTTCTGCAAATACTTTCGGTGTCTTTATTGAATGTTTGAAGGTACGAAATGTTTTCCTGGTTATCATCCAAACTATCTAAGATGCTGTTAATTTCCTTTGCGGGTAGTATTTCGTCATTTTTACATGAAATTAAGTCTGACAAATCAAAATTAATGCTGCTACTGCCTTCTTTCTTATCACTCCTATTTTCCAATAAACTTAGTTTTCCACGATCGTAATTAAGTTTTATGCTGTTATTAATAACTACTACTGCTTTGGTTCTTGTCGTTTTAAAGAACTTCTTACTGTTATCAGGAGGAGGACTTAATTCTCTTTTTTTGTTTTCTTGGTCAATACTTAACGGATTATGTTTATAAACTGGTTCAATTTCCGAAGTATTTTTTAAAGGGGGGTCATTTTTCTTAATTGTTTGGATTTGTTTGATCATATTTGGAGTTATTGTTGAAGTTTTCTGAATATTTGTCATTTCTTGGAGATATTCATTAAAAGGTGATTTTTCTAATATATTTAGAGCAGCCTTTAAAACCTGAGACTTAGATGATCTTTTCTGTTTTGGTTTTCTTATTTTGTGTCTAACTCCTGCATTTATCTGTCCAAATCTACTCTTTTTACGTCGATTACATATAAATGTTTGAGAAGATCTAGGCTTACATTTTTTTGATTCATTCTTCAAAGTGCTTTCAAATTTTTCAGTTGTAATGTTCTCCATTTTTGGATAAAATGACTTGGGAGAAACACAAACTTCTGACTCTTCAACTGGAAATAAGGTAGTTCTGACTCTTGAAACTTTTGATACGACTCCTTCTAATTTTTGATACTTAGAAGTAGGGGAGGATTCAGGGGAAGAGAGTTTTCTTTTCCCACACTCTTGTACAATAAAGCCAGTATCAACTGATTTACGTATAAGTTTAGGAATTTTAACAGAAACGTTAAAGGACTCTTGTGGAGTTTGATGATTTTTAACAGGAGATAACTTTAATGGAGTGTCTGGAATAAATGTTTCATTAGTATCTATTTTTAATGATGAATTGGATAGTTCATCCTGATGTTTTGTGAAAAAAGGGGAATTTGTATGTTCTAACTCTGATCCACTAATGTTACATTGAAAATAATTTGTTGTATTATTGTCTACACTTCCCAAAATAACGTAATCGTTTATAGAACTTTCATCAAACTTAAATAAACCGTTTCTCATAGTCTCTCTTTGATGTACTTGATTAAGTGGTGAATCTGGAGGGCTTAAACTTGAATCTGATCTTAAGGGGCTCATATATCCTAAATCACTATCACTATCGTTGTCATTAGGAAACAAAGCTCGTCTTCTTTCAGAAATACGAGAAGAATGCGACAACTCGTTCACAGAATCCACAGCTATTTCAGCCATATCACTAAAACGTTCTCTGAAATATTTCATGTAACTGTATCACCACGACCTTTAATAAATAAGGGAATGTACTACAATTCTATTAGTAGTATATTCATTTTGTTAATAAGTTTTAGGTTATTTATTAGAAGAAGACGGCTTTTTGTTATAAATTATTAATTCGAAATAATTTTAACTCACCAAATCTGCTTCCAGTGGATAGAGTTACTTAATTAGTATCTCAAAACACTCGAAAAAACTTAAACACACTAAATATTCAAAAATCATTTACTTCAGTATCTTTTACCGCCAAATTGCGCCAAATACAAATGATTGAATTGAACATCAGCGAACAGCTGTCAAGAAAACAAGATAATCAAAAGTGATAGTCGTTCTGTACTCGCAGTGAATTATTTTATCTTTATTTTTAATTAGTAACATTTAAATTATTTAAGAATATGAATTAATAATTTAAAAAGTGTTATATTACGTTATTCAATAAACGGTCTTTTATAATGAAGAACAATTATAATTAACATATAAAAAAAGGTGTGACGTTACCGAATGTGAATATTTAAACACTTCTGTATTGCTAACTCAAGGTCAGTTCTGTCAAAAATAATTAAA